TAACCACATATTTATCACACATTGTTTAAAGATGAGAAAAACTGAATAGAGCAGAAAAATTAAAGACAATGTCTAAAAATATTGGTGACATTTGTTTTAGAGACTAGACTATTATTTTAGCTTCCATCTAGCTTATCACATATTGTTCATTTTCTGCATTCTACATATATTAATTGATATATAAGAACTATTTGAGAAAATGCAATGTCAACAAATGGTGACAATAATAAGCATGGCATGACAGAAGTTATGGAAAGAATAAAAGGCTGGAATAAAATAAAGTATGTATATTTTGCAAAAATGATAAACAAGTTGGTAAAAGGTAAATTAATAGATACTGATAGAATAGTGTGGCAAATAAGTAGAAAGGAGGAATCGAAGCTATAGTACAAATGGTTTTCAGCATGTGAAAATGATCCAAAACTAGAAATTTAATGGTAATATCTAGAATGCCACCAAAATGAGTTTCAAGTACATGTAAAACAACAATTAGAACTGAAGATAGAAATGTTGATTAGACTTAGTTTATGCAGGGCCCACCAAAACTACGATTATTTAAATAGTTGAGAATCATTTAGAAATTTAGGAAAATGATTATAGTCAGTATTTATCTAGAAAATTCTAGCAATAAAGAATATAACTGATCAGAGGTAGGGAATGAGCAGGGTTTGGGCATAATTGTTGGATACAAGGACAGTTTCATTGTTCTGACTTAATGCAAAGCCATCTCAGTAGAGATTGAAAAGGAAGGAACAGAATAGTTGTGATTCAGAAATAACTGATGGGATTTCTTAATTCCTTAAGTATGTTGATAACGTGAGAAAAAAGTAGTCAACTATGATTTCAACATAGAGAGAGGAGGCTCCAAGTTTAGAGAAGACAGAGGTCAGAGGATTAGGCAAGTTGAAGAGAGAGCATGAGTTTATTTGTAGGTATGTTTGAGTGTGAAGCCAGAGAAGTAATGCCTGGAGGTGCAGTACCTTGGTACTCAGGCAAGAAGTGACGGTAATATATTTAACTTTTAAAAAGTCTAATAACACTGGTAGTGATTTTATTATTAAGCGGTTTTATGGCAACTTTCATCTTTGTCTCACACTGCTGTTAACACATTTTTTGAATTATCACATTAGAAATGTAATAAATAATGATCTTTCAAAAAGGAAAGTTAGATGACTGAAATCTCAAAGGAAGAGTGTATTGACTTTTATAAGAAGAAAATTAAAAGTTCATTTCTGATGAAGGTATATACTTGAGATGTAGGAACCAGCCCAAACTTAGAAAAAGTACATCAATAAATATTAGGAGTGCAAAGAGAGTGCCATGCTAAAGCAGCGAAGGGAGTAGGGAATTCTTGAGAAGAGAAAGTAGAAAATAAGTCAGAATTCTGCAGTGATCAAAGAAAAAAAGAATAGAAAATAGAACAAATAGAGCATAGCTTTTGACTTAAGGAGCTTTTTGTGGCTATGTCCTTCTCAATTCACAATTTAGGGGTAAAAGAAGAAGGAAAGATACCATTGTTTGGTATCTCAAACAATGGGAGGTTGAGGGCAAAATATTTATAACATATCAGCAGGAAGAAAACAGGATAGCTCTTTGTTTAAGATATTTCTACTCTTGAATTTATTTTTTAAAAACTGGTGGTTTTCTGTCTTATTATGCTGTATATCCAATTACATTTCCAGTATTCACTATTATGAAAAAAAGTTTTAAGTACCTATGGGTGAGTATGCTTTCATTCTGCTAATTTGTCCACTGACACTTTATCTGCTTGAGGTGTTAAACCAATTTGCTCATTCCATGGGATAGATTATATGAGAAAAAGTTGATTAAAGAAAGAAAAAGACCTGGAAAACTGAATAACAAACATATTTTTCCCATATATTTGCTTAGTTATAACTACGCTACTTATTGCAATAGATCATGAAATCCTATTTCCAAGCTCTTAGTGGGATTAGTGAATTTGGTGAGCATCATTTAAGGTTTTGCCTCATTTAGTGTGATTTAAGAAACAAGATATGTAATGGACAAATCTTGAACATTTTACCAGTAACATTGCCATTTAAGACAAATATG